CAAACACACAAGCAGAAGCAATGGCTATACTTCAAGCTTTAAGGTCCATCAAGAACATGGAATATATACATGTGACCATTGAAACTGATTCCCTTCTTATGGTAAAGGTGATTAAAAAGAATTGGGAAGTTCCATGGCAGATTGTGAATATCGTGGATGAAATTTGGGAGATTATGAGAGATAGGGATATTGGTGACTCATATATTAAGGGAAGGAAACAAACTTGATGATTACTTAGCAAATTATGCTCTGGATTATGGAAGCCTACAGATAACCAATTTTCACCAATTAGAGATAGAGGAGAGAAAGATTATTAACAATGATAAACTTCAGATTCCATATCTAAGAAGGAGAACTTGCAGATGATGAAGCTGTGGAATTTCGAAAGGAGTTTTTATGTTCAAATCCTTTCGGAAATGAACATGGGACATTTCTATCTAACACTTTGCCTAATTTTGCAGGAACAAGAGGACATTTTAATAAAAAAAAATAAAAATGCAAATAATGCTGATTCACAAGACGAAAAACACAAAGGTCACCTGCAAACATAAAATCTTCTCGCAATATACTAGTCCGATGGATAATTGCTCGATGTGTGGTATTAGTACTTTCGAGTGGTCATTCTATTGAACAAATATCTAAAAGACAACATATAGTGCAGAAGGTAAAGTGGAGGCAAAATCAGATATATTTGAAGAAGCATACATGCTAAGAACTATCAACATATCTGAAGGCAAAAATGAAGAATCAAAATTACTACACTACAAATAATCTCTAAAGGGTAAAATCAACCATCAAAACATTATAGATCTGAAAAGAACACTTGCCATCAACAAATACAAGAAAATGAAAGAGGATTACCTGTCAAACAGAGCAAGAACGAGCAGCTGCAGAAATACGAAGCAACAACAACGATTGATGTACAAAATAAGGCTGGAGCTGGTGCAAGGATCATATTGGCGAGCTACCAAGGAAGAATCGAGCACATCTCCTCACTTTAGAATAGGTTTAGTCATGCAGACTTCTTTTCACTTAATAAATAGCCTGATGGGCCTTGATATTAAAAAAAAAATGTTCTATTTTTTCTATTAAAAAAGCAAAACAAAATTTGAAATGTATTTTTAGTTTCTTTCATTTTGATTAAATCAATTGTGTTCTAAATTATTATTTTTTTGTCCATAACGTTATTTTTGTTTAATATATTTTAATTTTCAAATATTTATCGATATAGATTTTTTAAAAAGCATTTGAATGTAATTTGTTAGTATTTTTTAATTAATAAATTTATTTTTTTAGAAAATCTGCAAATTATTCAATAATATATAACTTTCCGTTTGTGTTTTTGACAATTTATTTGACAAATTTGAACATAATTATTATAAAATTATATGTTTTGAAGATAATTTTTTAAAAAAAATATTCAAACAGGAAAAGTCGAGAATCATCTTGATGATAATATGTGACACTATTTTGCAAAATACGGATTAATTTTACATATATATATATATATATATATATATATATATTTTAACTATCCATTTATTAACGTTTTCTTCTTCTTTTTTGTCATGACATTTTTAAATGAATTTTAATTATAAATTTATTAATTTTTTTTTGTTTTATTTTAGTCTTGTTCTAAAACTATCAACTGCCTTGGTATTAGACTACCACTTACAATGGAATAATCCTTATTTAAAGTTTGTTTTTCTAAATTCATCATTATTTTTACTTTTGCAACGTCATATGCATAACCTTAGTTTGTTTTTCTAAATTCATCATTATCGTTATTTTTGCAACGTCATATGCATAACCTTTTGATTATTATTTAAAAAATGATTTTTTGCATATTTTTATTGCATTATCTATTATTTTAATTCTTTAATGTTATTTATTAACTTTATATTATTGAACAAATAGATTTTTGTTATGCTTCCTCATGAAGCCTGTAAGAAAAGGGATGAAATAATATGCATTGTCTTATATATAATACAAAGAAAATAATGTACATAAAAAAAGAATCAGAAAATTCACCATCCAAAGTGAAGTGCTCTTTCTGGGTCGTCTATCCAGATTTGTGAAGAACATTATAGAAAATAGTAATTTTATTTGTATTTATATCTACTTTCTTTAAGAGGGGACGGTTTAAAACAATAATAAAACAAACAATAAATAAAGAGGTAGCAATTTTTAAGTGATTATTTGAAGTTCAAAAATCCTCAAAGTTACCTATTAAAAAGGAGTCTCAAATAATAATAATGGTAACAGAATAGAGTCAATTAAATTTTAAAATTTAAAAATGTTGTGTTTTCAAGTGGGGTGGGGTGGGGCTTCATACTTTTTCATTTATTTTTTTTTGTTTGCAGTTACGTATTTAACATTATTATTATTTATTTATTTATTTATTATTATTGTGAAATTACTTTAAAATCTTTTTAAAAACTAAATGATAAATAATTTTTTTTATAGATAATACATAGATAATAAATATCAATTTATATAGATAGATACTTTTTTGTTAATCAGTTTTTTATATTTAATTTCATTTTTCATTTGTTAAAATAATTTTTTTTAAAAATAAATATTCTGATTGCCCCCAATAAAATTTATTGAAGACATATATAATTGTCGTTGTATTTTTTTTCAAAGTTTAATTAATTTATTTATTGAAAAATATTGAATCTATCCTAGATTTAAAAAATAACACTTTTTAACTAATTTATAAATTGTATTTTTTTTATAAAATTAAATCTGTTTTTATAAAATGCCGACATTTGTTATTATTTGTTAAAGTTGATGACATGTGTCTATTTTTATTTAAAAGTGTGTATTTAAATATTTAAATAGGTATATAATATTTAATTATTTATTTTTAAAATTCTTTAAAATTGTGGCGCTAACATGTGACATTTTTTCTTCTCCTATTATATATAGATAGATTATTATTTTTATTTCATTCTTATTTTCTTATTTCATAACAGAAATTATTGCTTTTTTCTTTTCCCAAATAATCATTTTATATAATTTTCATGTGACATAATATTTTATTTTTTCAAATTTATTTTTAAGATAAAATTATATTTTATTCTAAATTTCTAAATAACATAAATTGCAATCAAATATTATATAATATTCAAATTAATGCACAATTCAAATAAAAGTGAAATCATTAGTGAAATACAATTACTTAAAAGTTACATAAATACTCAACTTTCAAGATTATTATGTTACTCCCAAAAATGCTCTGATAATGCATTACGGAGTGCAAAATTAACATTTTTATCCTTAATTTTTTACGTCTAATAAAAATTGTTCAAATAAGAGATTTTCATCTACCGTCATTTTTGTTGGTGCAATTAGAGTTAGCTACATCCAAACAACGAGACAGTGAAATGCTAGATGGACATATCAAACTCAAGGAATTTATAGAAGAAAATAAAATTTTAAGGAAAAATTTAGAGGCTATTAGTGATCCAAATGTTCGTGATTACATGCAACAAGAATAACTATGAATAATTGAAAAAAGAAATCAATATGCACAACCACAACTACAACAATTTTTTGGATCATACATTATTATTATTTTCAGAATATTGCTTAATCTGAAAATGACCTACTGGATTACTAAATATTGTCGTGATAAATAAGTTATTATGTTATTTATTGTATTGTTATTTTGTATTTAAATTATTATCTTATGTATTGTATTGTTATCTTGCATTTAAATTATCATCTTATGTATTGGACTTTTATCTTGTATTTAAATTATTATGTTATGTATTGTATTTTTAAATTAGAGTTTTCATCTTATCATTTTAATTGTACATTCTTTATAGTAAAAATTAATAATAAATCAAATTATATTAGCGTGGAAAATTAAAAAATATTGAAATACTGTTAATTCGAAATGAATATAGTATATGTTAATAATATATTTTTAAAATATTATATTACATTTTAAAAAAAATCAAATATAATATATTTAAGTAATGACATTATATGTAAATAATGTTAATTACAAAATAATAGAAATAATAAAACTAATATTCTCTCTAAAAATGAAGAATAGAGACTAAAATAAAGAGGGGTTGGAGTGTCCATTCTCTATTTTTACTCTATAAATATTGAGAATGAATAGTAAAATAGAAGTGGGTTGGAGATGGTCGCATGGGACAATACGGGAAAAAACAAAATTGGACGATAGTTCGTACTTTAGTGTTAAATTATTTTAAATTGAAGGAAGTACACAACATCCGTTATCGTCCAGCGGTTAGGATATCTGGCTTTCACCCAGGAGACCCGGGTTCGATTCCCGGTAACGGAACTTTTTGGTGTGACCTCCGAAATTCACTTATACTTTGTACAAACTTAAGCAATTGTTCTTCTTATTTTATCTTTGTTTATCATCTATTGATCATATTTTATCATTTACAGTACCTTATTTATTTTTCTCATTTTATCTTTGTTTATTATCTATTAATCATACTTTATCATTTATAATACATTTTTAGCTATTCATTTTCCCCTATCTTTCTTAAAGGTTTGCCCTTCAAATTGGTCATATATGACACACAAAATGATACAATCTATCCAAACTTGATAAGAATACAATTCAATATACCATAATTGTCCTTCAAATTGGTCATACATGACATACAAAATGATACAATCTATCCAACCGTGATGACAATACAATAGGATAAATTATGAAATGATATAACAACCATCATTCACAGATCTTATGATCCAAACAAAATCTTAAAGGAACAGATTATATGAAATTACAACAAAGTTTGAACATTTTGATGGTTGGATTCGCCTCGACCTTTCAAACGTTTGAAAAAAGTAAGTACATTATAACAACTAAAAAGTATCATTCTTTACCAGCATTGTTCAGTCATTCCAAGGTTAAAAACCATGAAGAAAGACTTCCAATTCAGTACTTTACAACTCTTCACAGCAATACACAACTCTCTCAGGCCAACTGACCATGCTACTTCTTTTCTTCCCTGTTCGATTACTAATCAGATCACTCAAGTTTTTTTTTAAAATTTTTTTAGCTTTAACCTTTTCCAACAATAGACCAGCAAAATATAGGATATCCAGAAACTGTTGTGTCTCACCATTTATTTTCTTAACATGCTACTTCTATTTCTTCTACAATATGATTTCCAATCAGATTGCTTAAGATACAAAGTGTTGATATTAATATGACCTTCAATCTCTACACAGATACACAAAGTAGGATGTGCAGAAGCAGCTATATCATTTTTCATTTTCTTGGTTGTCTAACCATCCTAGTGCCTTTTTACTCTCATTGAAAGTATAAATTACGGACAAATCGTGTTAAATGAAAGAAAATTATGAAAAAAGCTATCATAGACGGAAGTCTGTTCTACTGCTAGAGTTGGATAGTAATGCTTATAATTTTGCTCCAGACATGGTAATCTGGAAACAATACATACCATGAAGTTGAGAACTAACAGACTTTGCTTATTGAAAACAAGTACCAACAACCACAGTCTCACACTGCAGAAGCGAGGTGAAAAATAGCTAAACTCAAGACCGCCCTTAAATTTCTTTTGAGAAAATTTATCATGATTTATTGCCAAAAGAATTAAACTCTCATTGCATTCTCCGAGTACCTTCACGAGGCATCAATCTACAGTCTCCATGTGCTGTTTTGAAGCGTTAACACTTAGCACTGGTTAAGAAACAAACAAAAGAAACAGCACAATCTACAGCAGAGAACAGCTGCTATACCTTTATGAGTTAAGACCAGGAGACACGACAACAAAGCAAAGAGAAGTTTATGAACAAACTATAGTCACTTACCTGAATTAGCGTTGTATCCTTACATTCGTGTTTTGCATCTAGCTGTACATTTCCCTCTTCAAAGTAATGGGCGCCAACCTGAATACAGAGCAGGTAAAGGATATACAAGTTTGAATAATTAAGCTTTTGATACAACAACAAAGCGACAACTACCCTCACCCCTAAACTAGAAGGTCGGCTCAATCCAAAAAGAATAATTCAGTAGAGTCTACATTCATGACTACAGTCAGTGAAGAAACCAGAAAACTGTGAAAGGGTTAAAATAAAGATCAGGAAACCAAAAGGCAAACACTATATGCTCATACTGTTGATGAAAGCATACCTGCATCTCGCCTCTCACTTCTACAGATTGAATTTCATCCTTAAATTCAATATTCCATATTGATCGCCAGCTTCCATTGCTACAGAAGATGCATATAGTATCAGGTTCTGTAGACAAAGCTATAAGAAGTATCAGTTGACCCAATTGACAAGTCAGACGTGCTATAACAAGATATCACTTGACGCAAGTGACAAGTGTGAAGCCAACAGGAAAAATAGGCAATAGAATCCCTCATTCTTTGTTTATATATAGCAACCTATTACTTCAGTATCTGTTTACAAGTTCTGCACCACGATAAGTATAACTATTTAGGAATTATGAAGGGAGTGTTGCACAAATTAGTCAGAGTTAGAATTTTAATAATCTAACACACCAGAAATTCTGAGGACTATGCCTAGCAGCTGAAATCACCACAACAAGTTCAAAGTCGAATCCTGGCTCTTCCACATCCTTTCCCTTCATACAGTAAACTGAACAGATGCCTTTTGGATATGTTTCACTCACATACTTCATAATTTCAGTATCCATGGCAGACCTACACAAGAATTACCATGATTAGGAGAATTTGGCAAGCAATGGTAATCACAAAGTCACTACTCATAAACAATGCCTCTAATGAGAAGAATAACTAACCATGTTAAGAAGGGAACTACTCACATAAAACAAAAACATGATTTTTATAATCTGCATGTCAAGCATTAGGAACTATTGAAGAATTCACTGCGCTCTCAGAATATACTCCTATTATACTCTTAATGCCTCCCAATAATACCAAATTTAGGTGTCTTACTACCATTTTAGTATCTGACATTGATGTCATTACCCATTAATTTGGAGACACCTGTTCCTCACCGATAAAGATGAACAAAAAAGTAAACCAGTGTATTATGAATCAGATTTCTTTATGGAATAAACACACACATGAATCATGATGTAGGATAGCTTATTAACACTTGAGGACTGAGGTGAAGATTACTAAGAATATCTCGAAAGATAAGGCATAGAATGTAATATAGAAGGACAGAGAAGAAATGATACTGATTAAGAAGAAGAGCATCTATATAGGAGAGATTAGCCTAAACTATTTATTTTCAGACTGATTTCGGTAAGCGCAGACCAAAACATGCAGCTTTTTTTCAATTAAGCCGGAAAGAAAATTTCCACAAGAAATGCAACTGTTCTAGCATAGCTTAAACTATAATCTGAGTGTCGTCTGAGAACTGAGGTTGAATTTGCAAGTCTTGTTGAGCATGGTTAAAAAATAAGCCCAATTAGGCAAAATAATTGTGAATGTCATAATATAGAAAAACTTCAACATCTCAATGGAAAAAAAGAGAATGTGAGTAACTAAAAAGGGAAGCAATACCAAAGATATTAAACTGAGAAATATATCTCATACCTACAGATGCTTACCTATACTCTTCCACGAAAGCAGATGGAAGTTCTTCATCTCTTGCTGGCATAACGTCTTTACAAACCTAGAATGCAGACATACCATGAGCTTACAACAAGGGAGCATAAATTATTACACGGCAACAATAACTAGGAAAAAAAGAGAGAAGGGAAATACATTTAATTTCACAGCCCTTGAATTATGAATAAACCCATGCACTTGTTATATTAAGCAGAGACTTATTTCACTTTTCCAATCTATTTACATCTACTTCATCACATTAACAAGAATAGAAAAGAAATGCATGTTATGTGACATTCAGCACTGTAGACTAATGAGGATTAATTTAAAACCATGGACCAGCTATAGTAGAAGAGACTTATTTTACTTTTCCAAAATTGGTATTCACTCCATCACCATTAACAAGAATAGAAAATGCATCTTATGTGAAGTTCATAACTATTGAATAATGAGGATAATCAAGAGCTTGCTATATCAAAGCACATTTTTCAAGTTTACAATATCTTCATTCTTGATATCCACTTCTATCATGAAAACCAACCTAACAGTTAACACAATTCACTCCGGTGTTTTGTTCTTTATCCCTAATGCCTGAATGTGTTTAACAAATCAAGTTCCAATCAGCCAGAAGATGTCTAACCATACTAAACTATAGATAAACAACATGAGCATAAAACCAGTTTATGTAGAGATTTTTAATTGCACAGCATAAAAAGGAGATTTCATGCTTACTATAACTAGTTCTTTCGGTTTTCTATTAGCGGCTTTAACTATAACCTCAGCTCTATTTATTGGTCTGAGCAAGATACGACTTATTTAAACTGAATATTCAAAATGAACAATACACCCAACACTATATGTATGCTTCTCTTTCTTCTTTTCTTACTTCGCCCTGATCTTTTTACTTTTCTTTTCCTTTCTTTCAGAATAAGCACATTTTTCGATATAGTCCCACCATCTCTACCAGGTTGTTTATGTCTGTCCATATTATTGCTTTTTTGAATTACCTTCTAAACAAAATACTCATCCTTCCAAACCTGCTTCCTCTTCTATGGATCCCACCACTCCATGCCCCGAAAAAAGAAGAAGGAAAAAGATAAGTTTTTCATCGTCACTTTAGATTATCATTTATTAAGTTCTGTCGGCTCAACTGATAGGAACAGTGTGGACTTTTTCAATTATAAAAAAGATAATAGAAGTTATTAAATGATTCCCTTCAAGATGATGAGCTTTTATAAACTTACATATCATGCAACTATTGGGGAAATTAAGGGTGTGTTTGGTATGAAGGAAAACATTTTCCAAAAAATATTTTTCAATTTTCTCATGTTTGGTTGGGTTAAATGTTTTTCAAATCAACTCATTTTTCTTAAATTTAAGAAAAATGACTTCCCTTCAAAACTTAAGGAAAACATTTTCCAAAACTCTCTTCCAACTTTAAACTACAATTACTTTTTTGTTGAAAAAATCAATTTATTTTGTCCCTACCCTCAAACCAGCCCCCCAACCAACCCCCCAAGAAAATAATAATTTAAAGCTTGTTTTTAAATTCAATTTTTTTACCCACCCTCACCCCTTCCCCTACCCCTACCCCCACCCCCTCCCAAAAAAATATTAAAAATTATTTTTAAAAGATATTTCTAATTTCAATTTTTTATTTTTTACCCCACCCACTACCCTCGCCCCCCCCCTATAAATTTTTTTTTGTTTTTAAAAAATATTTTCAACTTCAATTTTTTATTTTTTCATCCCGATCGTCGATTCACCCACACCCCCTCCCCGGCCTGCCCCCCCCCCCCCCAAAAAAAAAAGAAAATTGAATTTGTTTTTAAAAAAATATTTTCAACTTCAAAATTTTATTTTTTCACCCCTACACTCGATCCTCCCCAACCCACCCACCCCCTACTCGCCACCCCTACCCCAAAAAAAATAATTTAAGTTTGTTTTTAAAAAATATTTTCAATTTCAAAATTTCATTTTTTCACCCTACCTTGACCCCTCACGCACCTCCTACCCAGCCCCCCCCCCCCCCCCCCCCAAAAAAAAAAAGAAAAAAATTTAAGTTTGTTTTTAAAAAATATTTTCAACTTCAAAATTTCATTTTTTCACCCTACCCTTTAAACCCACCCACCTCCTACCCAGCCCCCCATCCCCCAAAAATAATAATTTAAGTTTGTTTTTAAAAAATATTTTCAATTTCAAAAATTCATTTTTTCACCCCTACCCTCGACCCCCCACCCACCCCCTACCAGCCCCCCCCCCCATCACCATCACCCCAAAAATAATTTTAAGTTTGTTTTTCAAAAATATTTTCAATTTCAAAATTTTCATTTTTTTCACCCCTACCCAGCCCCCCCACCACCACCACCACCCCCTACCAGCACCCCCCCCCCCCACCACCCCCAAAAAAAAATTTAAATTTGTTTTTAAAAAATATTTTCAACTTCAAAATTTTATTTTTTCACCCCAACCCTCGACCCCCCATCCCCCAAAAAAAAATTTAAGTTTGTTTTTAAAAAATATTTTCAACTTCAAAATTTCAATTTTTCACCCCTACTCTCAACCCACCTCCCCCCCACCCCACCCCACCCCCAAAAAAATTTAAGTTTGTTTTTAAAAAATATTTTCAATTTAAAAAATTATTTTCTACCCTAGTAAAAATAAAAGATATTTCTCATTCATAAATCAAACACTAAAAATCTTTTTCGAAAAATATTTTCTACTCACCAATCAAACATGAGAAAATAAATCAAAAATCAACTTGTTTTCCAGGAAAACATTTTCCTTCATACCAAACACACCCTAAGAGACTGCGGATTTGATGATAAATTCCAGCACCATTTTTGGTGCTTTTGTGTTTTTGCAAGGTAGTTTGTTAGTGGCACATGGAAGGAGGTGCCTCATCCAATGAAATTATTAATCTTATCAGAAAGTCAAAACACCAAACTGTAAAAAATCCAAAAATAGCATTTAGCATTGTATACTAATTGAACAACGTACTTGCTTGACATGGTCAACTCTGGCAATCTGGGCAGTCTGGGGATCAAGATACTCATCCTTATCAACCTCACTAAATGATGTAATCAGTACCTACAAACAGAGGCGAATCTAGAATTTTTCGAATATGGGTGCACCAAGAAAAATGTATTAAGTGGGAATTGATCCGAACATGGGTGCACCAAGAAAAATGTATTAAGTGGGAATTGATCATCGGTCCTCAAAGTCAAAAGCTCAACATTTAACCATGTGGACCAACTAGACTTTTTATAGTACGGGTGCAAGAATATAATATTATACAAATGTTAGAAAATATATACATAAAATATCTAATTTTACGAAGAGACCACGGGTTCGGGTGCCCTAGTTTTTGCACCTAAATTCGCCACTGCCTACAAATTAGTGAGCAGCAACTTTACACAGCTAGATCATGAAAATAGCTTCCAAGTGGCCATTACTACATAAATGAAAAGCATTATACTTTCTTTTTAGAAGAGGGGAACAAAATCTTAGACTTCATAAAGAACAGTTCTCCGGAAAGTTTTCTTTTCTATTATGATGAAGTAATCATTTATTGAAGTGGTGGAAATTCCCTATACACAAACTTTAAACAGATGTAGAGAACTTGTCCATAAACATGGTGCTCAACAAACAACACCCAACTCTTTCATATATAGTAGCGCCAGCATCCAAGTACCGTAAGGCCACAATAGCTAAGAGACAACGTAGAGTATGAACCCTTTCGAGTAATGACGTCTTTGAGATACAAAATTCGATCACAAAAGCAGATACATACAAGTTCATAAGCAACCTCAAATTAATGTAGAGTAATAACTGAGTTTACAATTAAATATTAAATGTTTAATGGATTTCTTATCATATAAACGTGGAATAAACAAAGCTATTGGGTTTCTATGAACCCACAAATCCTACTCTACATCCCACAGTTCAATCATTGTTTCATTGTCCAAGCTTCACAGTATAATCCAGAGAGGATATTTGTCATAAGGATTTCCCCTCACAAACTAAATGACTAAGACTCGCGATTACAATAGTAATATCCCCGTCAAATAAATCCTTTTCCAAACAACCATCCACTTGAATGCGCTAGAATCAAATACTGAGAGTAGTGCCTGCAAGTAAATATTTCAAAGATGCATTTCGATTCGGGCAGAGAAATTACATGACATTGATAAGCAATATCTATAGAGTATATGGATTCTCACTTCGTGAAACTGCAAATTGACAGTCAAACGTTTCCAAAGAGGTCAGCAAATGAAAATTTGAAACTTAGGTGGTTCACCTCCTGTGTTTAGGTAGTTAACATCAAAAGCAACGTCCCCAAAATCATCTGGCGAACAGCAAATGATTGTATCAGAAAACGTTTCCAAAGTTTTCATAATAAGGTTACCTTTGAATTGTTGATTCAAATTTAAATAAAATTCAAACCTTCATACAGGGTCCTGGCAATTTGAACATACTCGGGTATGAGGTCCTTGTATATGACTCCAGTTGGACGTGGATCCAGGACAACTAAGACTCCTGTCCAGTTGCAGTAATTAGTTGCCAAAGCCTAGCTTTTATTTTTGAAATCCAAAGTTATTTGTTCTTTTTAATGAACACGTCATGTGGAAGTTAAATTTAAAAACGGACAAAAAAGAAAGATACATTCCTTAATGTTTCAAAACAATATAAGAAAGACACTATATAATTTATTGTTTTGTTAAAAAATACTTGCAATAATTCTATTATTACTTTTTAAAAAATGGGGTTTCAAATTTTGAGACTAAGACGGATGCCTCATTTTTAAAGGCATTGAGCCGTCCCTGCTGCTGTCAACATGAAATTCTCTACATCAGAAGTCACAAGGTAATCAAACAGGAAACTTGTAACCTTTTTTATCTGCGAGAGAAAATTAGTTCCTCTCTCTATCTCTTCCCGATTAATTCATTCCTACAGATCATCAGGATGTTCACGGTTATCCTAATAGATTGGATTTGTCATTTTGTAGCTTGTACTAGGTACTTTAAGTTAATTGAGCAGTGTTTTACTTGAAGCCCAAAAAAATGAAAACCTTTTTCAAAATGATACTATCCATCTTCATCATTTCCCATCATTTCAACTGATACTATCCTTACCTACCTTAGTTGTAGCAACAGGATCACCTTTCTTTAGAAATTCAACAGCATCATGTCCCTATTTATGCTACTTTATCCAAAGAGAACTCGAAGGTATTATTATTAAAAAATAAAGCCAAAGGAAGTTCCTCACTGTGAGTTTGTTTCTCAAAGGGGAATATCAAGAGGAAATCTGGGTGATGTGTGAAAGCTCTTATCCCAGTGATACATGCCAGAACAGTGTTCACTAACAGCCCCATAAATTTCTCAGGAATCTTGGTAGCCCATTAAACTCCAAACTATAGTTGCATTTCTGCAGCTATTAACTGTAATTTGTAAGTAAGTTGATCTAATTAGCTTGGGATTGAGACATAGTTGATGAACTCCATTAGATTCTACAAACATAATGTCCTCTTTATCCCCACCCACCCAAAGAAAAAAAAATGACAAAAAGAAATAAGAAAATGCAAGTCGTAGAGATGCTTCCGCATCTTTGATATGGTCCGTGCAGTAAAGTATACTGCACTGGGAAACATTCCACTATAAGTGTAATTTGAGAACCTCAAAGACACATACCTGGTGCTAACCATTCATTTGAGGAGTTACTAGCTAATGGAGCTAGCCACAATATGTTACGCAAATTCATTGAATCGTCATAAGAAACATTAGTTCCTGAGAACAATAAAACCTAACATGAGTATAAAGAACATCATTATTGTCCTTCTAATACGCTGATGGATTGAAGACTGCTGATGGTAAATAAAGTTTGAGAAAATCCAATTCTGAACATTCAGTAGATCTCACAGGAAGTGGTTAAGATGCAGACAGACCAACCTATTTGGCAGTAGCCCATGTTGCAAGGAAAGACCTCCTTATCATATGCTGGATACTCCTTAGCATGGAACCTGAAAAGTGTTTGCACCTTTTAACCTCACGAGCATCCCACACACACACACACACAAGACGAAAACAAACAACTTGCATCTAAATCATAAGTAAGTTGGGATCACTATATGAATCCTCATTGATCATATCACCCATTTAAGCTTATCTTGAACCAATAAAATACAAAATAAAAATTGAAAGCACAAGTTCCTATATTTCCTACTGATATACAAATCTCTGACAAGATCAACATACTCCTAGTAAAACCTAAAGTAAATGTATTAACATGGCTAAACATATTCTGAACTAATTGGTATCGCCTATATAGATCTTTTTACTTTATTGTGGCCTACTATTTTGCTATGTCTACATGGATTCTAAGAGATTGTAGGTCTTTCAAGACAAGTTCCTTCTATTACCATCCCCATCTTGGATAAAGGAGTAGGGTTGCAGCAGGCTCACAACCAGTACAAAACTAATCAATTTATGATGAACCACCACACAAAAAGAAAATGAAAAATATTAGCAGAAATACAAACAAATATAGAAAAGAAAAAAAATAGTTTGTGAGGACAAAACAAAATTGAAGAAACATCCACATCCATCTTACGGTCGACAGAGTAGAGAGGGTATGACTGGTTGGAAGCAGGTTCAAATTGAAATGGGACAATGGGTAATCTTGTATTTTGGATTACAGGATAAATGGAATTTCTTACCTTCTCTACTTCATAACAAGCTAACAAACAAGAGGATCTCCTTATCATATTTAATTAACTAGAGTATCTTTTAAGAGCTGCCTCTGACCAGCTAACAAACAAGAGGTCTTGTATTTCGGAATTCGGATTACAGGATTAGAAGAATCTTGAATACGATCCTTGCCTGAATTTGGTGAGAGATGTGGAAGAAAAGAAACCAAAGATGTTTTTTAGAGCACATGTGTAAACACTCATACTCTGAATCATGGTTGTATCTCTTTTTTGGAGTTTTGGTATAGAATAGAAGATGTCAAAACACAGTGGATAGAATGTTAACCTTCCTCAACGACATAATCTAGTGTATATGGACTTCCGATAGAGCAAAACTGGGCTGCTGAAAATAAGTGAAGTCCCTCAATCCCATAAATTACTAAGTCTAACTCCTTAAGCAAACTGGAGGAACGAGAATTCTACTTCTACAACTAAACACCTACCAGATCCCCATCTTACCAATCTGGTTCTCATTGAGAGAAAGTAGTGATGATCCGTGAATGGTTTCCACCCATGGCTCTTTGCCCTATATCCGAAATCTAGTGCACGTCTCCAGGTAGCTTCAGTGCACTCACAATGATAGCTACTACAACACTAAACCCCATAAAGAAAACCAAATCATAAACCAAGAAACCCCTGACTCGGTCTTTTGTGGAAAACAGAGACTGCAGAGAGCAGCAAAAGCTCTAATTCTTTGAGAATATGCGGCCAGTGATCAACTGCATAGAATATTTTACTTCAACAGAGAAGAAACTCATTTGAGTTTATTAACGCACACTCTCTTGTGGATCTGTCAACAGGATTCACTTTAATTGTGGAATTTATCCACCTTGTTAAACCATTATCTTACTGAAAAACATTATTGCTAGATGATAGCTGTGTCTAGAACTGGAAGATTAAGCAAAAGAAATTGAAGATTTATAGTTGAACTATTGTGCATAGCAGAATAAGCATACTACAGCTTCAAGTCTTGAACAAGTAGACAATTCAAGTTGAATTAGACGTTACATGCTTTTTTGTCCTTAAGGTTCCCGACAACGGAATATGATATATAACACAAGATAAAGATATTCAAGAAAACACAACAACTATGGTTGCGTTTACAATAACAGACAAAAATCACAGAAACCCGATCAGATTGCCTTTCATCTTTGCTTGTTGCAGAAACGTTACAATTCAACTAAATCTGTGTTTTACCATCTTCCTGCTGCTATTTAGATGGATTGAGTTAAGGCTATAGAAATGCAACTGAATCAGTTACATGAGCATCCATCATATTCTTCCAATAGGTGAACGGTCTTCTTCTCTAGTTTTCTCTTATCCTAGTTCACTTTATTATTAGCCAAAGTAAAAGAAACACTTGAAAGAAAAAATATCCTTCCAAATATCCGATTAGCCAAGTAATTAGACGCAAATCTGATTGTATTTGCTCGGTCATTTACAACGAAGAGTTCTTAGGGCACGACTTTCTGTGGAACACTCGAGCAACAGAAGCACCATTTTTGTCATGTGTGCTCAAGACGGTGAAGGGTTCATGTTAACTTACAAGATCCCAAGTCTTCCAGAGTCTCTGCCAAGAAAGACATGACCATGAAAGAAATCAAAGCGCGACAATGATACATTCAGCCCAACACTGGGTCCCCGAGCAACAATCATTTCAAACAAAGATTCGAGGTATGAATTTATCTCCTACAAAACAACATTTGAACTCAACATTAACCAGCAACAGAAATTCTCATTTCAAGAGCATTTAGAAGTTCCATTTTAATGCTGACCTCATTAATAAACAGTCTCCCATAAGGAGTTCTGGTAAGTTCACATCGGTCTTCCTTTGATCCTTCAATGTCAGGAACCTGCACATTGAAGAGGATGCACTTACTGTAAAAAATCTCTGAGAAAGACAATTGAAAGAGGAAGCACTTCAATAAATTGCTAGTGACTTAAGAGACCCTATTAGTAAGGGCCATCAATAAAGTTTTTAGATGGACATCGCGAGCTAAAACTATCTCCTTTTTTCCCGCTGAAATTCGTTCCTTTACACAAGTTATAGGTAAGGTACTTCGAATATTGCATTTAACAATATTGTACAAAGGGTGTACCAATAAAATTTCCTGCCATGTTAGTATGTGATTAATGATCAGCACTATTTATCGTGCAGCCACCCGAGGCATTACAAAAAGGCAAAAATGTACATATATTTGTGCATTTATCATTTATCTGTATAGAAACTTTGACACAAATGCTTTCACGACAAAGAGGATAAAAGCAAGAACTATTTGTTGTTAATTCTTAATAGAATTATAATAGGTATGTAGCCCTGAATTAGTGTTGCCAGAGGCAAATAATGCCACCCTGCCCTGCTAAATTTTAAGTCCTTACCCTGCCGAATTGCCATCCCTATATCCACTTTTTAAATTTTTGCAGTTATCCATTGTCTTCCTCTGAATCAAGTTTTCTGGAAGTCTCACTTCTCAGTTATCTGTTTAGTATTTATTAAGTTCTGCCATAACACTTGGCACTTTTACAACCTGTTTATTTACTATACTAACAAACAGTAAGTTTATATGCTAAAGTAAATTAGTTTGTATTAATTTGATTCTTGAAAAATAAGTTTATTTTTAATGTTAACAATTTTATAAGTGTGTAAGTTATTTTAACAGAAAATGTATTTATCGATTTTTTTTATCAAATGAATTAATTATTTAATTATGTTTTGAGAATTAGATATTTATTAGGAGTAAAAAAAATGAAAGAAAAGAGAGGTGAGTAGCAGAGAGATGGTAAAAAGGTAAAGAAGTGGGTCCATTATTCAAGTGTCAACTAATTAATTGAGGGTCACACAATTATTATTGGTTGAGCCTTTGCCATTGTAAAAAAATTTGAGTATATCTTTTTTGGATGTGAGGTGACACTCAATTAAAATTAAAGAGAAAGTATTGAAACACTCCTAAATTTGGTGTAAATTATTAATTTGATTTCTAAATTACTGACCACCTTAAAAGTTAAATACATCTAGATCTTGCAATATAAGTGAAATGCAATCCTAAATTTCTATCAAATTAGAGGTGTTTTCAACACTTCTCTCAATTTTTTATTAAGAGTCTCATATTCCTACAAGAATTTGAGACCACATACCAAGTCATGGCATAGATTGAGCTATGTTTAGTTTGATTAGTCAAGCAATTAATGTTTTTAGTACGGTCAATAATTTAAAAATAAAACTAATTATTTACACCAAGTGTAAAGATATGTTCAATACTTCTCTTGAGATAAAACTCAAGGACTCCATGTAAACAATAATGTTCTCTGGGTTTTGAAAAAAATTCAAGAAATAATTACACCTCGGAATTTAAGAATTAAACTAAAAAAACGTGTTTGGAGGATTTTAAGATTAACTCTGTTATCAAAGTATGACTGACATCCAATTTCCCTTTTCTTCGCAGATCTTACCTAAATAACCCATATTGTTTACTGCTTAAGCACTAGGACTAAAAGAAGGGTCAGTGTTACTTAATCAAACATAAACTAAATTCATTTTTACTTTATCTTTTCACCAAGGTACTCATAAAGCTCAAGACTTAATTTAAACTTCTAACGCATAGTTATTGATTTTTGAAAAATATTCATAAATATAAATTATTTTTCTATTATATGGAAAGGATAGAAAGGAGAGTTTTCAAACTTTCAACATGGCTGTTTTTTGCCACATTTAGAAAATCTTAAGGGCAATTTGGTCATTGCCCCTTACAATTAGTATTTAGGGCCCATTTGGCTATAGATTTTCCAAATAATATTTGGGAAAAAATTTGGCAAATAGTGTTTGTCTATATAATTTGTCATTATTTGGTAAATATTTTTGGCAAATATCCTAAATTTCCAAATACTAGTTTTTTCTAGTATTTGGGCCAAATCTCATTATTTGGAATCTTTTGAAAATTAAAATTTTACCCCAAATTTTTATCGTTTACAAAAACACCCTATAGTAGTTGTTTGCATTGTATTACATAATTTTTTACGTGAACACCAAAGTAGTGATAAGATATTCAGTGAATATTAAGCTAGCGTTTGACCATAGATTTCTAAATATCTTTGGCAAATATTATTTGGGTTAAAATTTGAGTGAAATTTCACCATGTGTTTGGCCATAGTATTTGGGAAATATATTTCACTTCTTTAGAAAAATATGATTTATACCCATAAGTTTTAAGAACTATCAAAACTAACCATAAGTTTGTATTACAAGCCAATTGAATCTTCGTTGCAACAATAACAAATAGTGTCCATGACACTAGAGCAATGTGGTAGTTTGGAGTGAGTGCAACAAGGTCATGTGCTTTGTCTACTTCACGATGTATGAAATGATGCTTGTTGCACTCACTCCAAACTACTTAATTATGATTTCTAAATATATGCGCGTAAAAAGAAAAGTCAACTAATATGGGACGGAGGGAGTACATGATTTTCTATTTGTATAAATGACTATATAATAAAAATAAATAAATAAAGATATATGATTTCTTAATATTTGCATGTAAAGAGAAAAGTGATCAACTAATATCGAACAGCCGGAGTACATGATTTTCTTTTTTATAAATGACTATATAATAAAAATAAATAAATAAACATGTATGATTTCTTAATATATGCGCGTAAAAAGAAAAGTGATCAACTAATATGTGACAGAGGGAGTACATGATTTATTTTTTTGTATAAATGACTATATAATAAATAAAAAAATAGAGATATATTTGTGGTAAATCATGATGAGAGAGAATACACGAATTATATTGAACCCGATCCGGCTCCTCTTCAGTATAATTTTTCTCCATTTCATCAAGAATATACATTTAGATGAAAGACATTCTATTTAATATTTATAGGTCAAGATTATATTACATTCCTAACCATAATTAAGTAAATAAAATTAGAAAAATACTCTTCAAAATTGGTAAAATTCCACAATTTTTGAAGATTCATTAATACCATTGATTTAATCTTAATTTTATATTATTCAAAATATCAAAATTGTTGAACATGAATTGATATGTTTAATTAGCCTGATAAATAATAATCTTTTGAAAAATATGTCTTATGATTCACATACATACGTAAAAGAAAAGGTAAAAGAATTTCTATTTTTTTAAAAGAAAAATTGATTTTTTTTTTCATTGACACAGCAGCCTCCACATATTTAATATAATCTTTAACTAATTAACTATGATTATGATTTTATTTATTTAATATAATCTTTACCTTTAAAATTTAAATAGGACATATATCTCTTATCTAAGTGTATACTTGATGAAATAGAGAGAAAAAATAATGGAGAGGAGAACTGAATCCTATTCAAACATATTTACTCGTTAATCAATAATTTTAGAAAAGAAAGGTCAATAGTTAACATAAACAGATAAATAAAATAGAAAAAAATACAGAAGAAAAAGGAAAGAGATACAACACATTAATTAAGGAGGTAACTGTTAATTATTTTGTTAATGACTATTCAAGGTTGCAAAAGTAATGGAGGTGTGTAGATACCATTTTTAAAAATGATTGACATTACAATATCAACAATTTAGTAATCAACTACCTTCACAATACGAAAATACTACGTATTTACTCTACGCATGAATTAACATATGTTTTACAATAAAACTAAAAAGTTACATTTATTTGAAGGCAGAAACTTATAAGCAAACATGAAAAGATGAGGTGTATTGAAAGAGACTATTGCTCTCTTAATCAGATGTCTAGTCGAATCTTGAGTATGAAAAAATTCTTTAGTAGGAAGTGCTCGCTCAAAATGGAGCCTTGCGCATTGTGAATCCATATATAATCAGGCTACAATAATGTGGATACCAAATACAATATAAAAAACCAAAAAATATATAAATTATAAGAACATTATGTAACTTTGCATGATAACCAAAGTTCAGACGTTGTTCTCACCTTCACAATATTCTATAAAAATTGATATAATTTTCATGGGACGATCTTTCCAAATCATTTTGAACTTTCTGTCAAATTAGACGATATAAAGTTAGACATCTTTTCTATTAACTATTAGAATAGTATTAGCAAATAATCAAACCCAAAGAAATTTATAAAGAGAAAGAAAAGATTAATGGAAATTAAATAATAAAGAATGATTTTATAGAACCTTAATATTTTGGCTGTTGAAAAGCATTAATTATGAATTTAGAATTGTAAACGATTTCTTCAATTATTATAGCCTTAATTTGAGGAAACGGTTAAGGGCTACTAATTACAACTAAGAATTGAAATTTTAAACGATACTCCCTCCGTCACTTTTTAGTTGTCCACTTTAGAAATGGCACACAGATTAAGGCAACAATGATTAGCACATTGAAGTTACAATTTTACCCTTATGACAACTTTTCACTTCAAAATTACAACCACTTATTTGAATTAAAGTGAAATAAATTGGAGGGAAACAACATACACTTTTACAATTTTCAAGAAGTGTAAATAAGGGTATAATAGGAAAAAATTTGTTGTCCTTTCTTGATTTGTCAAAATGGACAACTAAATAGGGACAACTAAAAAAGGAAATATGGACAAGTAAATAGGGACGGAGGGAGTATCTTTTCTCTGTCTTAAACTTTAATTAATTTAAACTCATTAATTATTATAGCCTTAAATTGAGGAAATTAAACGGTAACTAATTAGAATCAATTTAGGTTTGAAAATAGGGGGAAAAATCTCCAAAAATATGAGAAAATAGATAAATAGGTTTTCTGATCATTGGAGCATGCCACATCAGCCGAAGACCAGCTTTATATATATATATATATATATATATATTTGACTGAATGTTGATTCGTTAGAAAATTTTACTTGAAAAAAGAAAAGTTATGTATCAACATATTTGGGTTCATAACTATAATAAAATAAAATCTTTAAAGTTCAATTATTATTTTTTTTAAATTAGAAAGTTAAATTATTTTAAA